AGCAGAGTACCTGGGCATTGCGAGGCTCGAACTCGCGACCTTGGGATTATGAGACCCACGCGCTACCGACTGCGCCAAACGCCCTTGAGGATTTTTTCTAAACCCTCTTCTTAAATTTTAAACCCTTAATCTCTTATATTGCATGCATAAGCCCAACCCCCCGTATATGCGCTGTTGCTGCTGGGGCTCGAAGGCAGTCATTTTCTTTGATGTTCTTCTACAAACCCCGTACAGACAACACACAAAGGAGAAACAATGTAGATTCGAATCCGCTAGCTGTAGCCACTGCTCGTTACGTGAGGGTTTAGGGTTTACGGTTTAGGGTTTAGATGTATGGGTTCATAGCATAGGTTTCGCGTGCACGTGAACATTTCGTGCACTTCGTTTTTGGGTCAGTCGTTAGCGCGCAGCTTTGGTAATCTGAAAGTCTGGGGTTCGAATCCCGGCATTTCGATTTCTCAACAATTCGTCCATCTGTTCTGCTTTGTTGTTTGCTGTGATTGTCTGTCTGCGTGTTGTTTTTTTGTGTTCATGTTGCGTGCGTTTGCTTCTCTGTGGCTCAGTGTTTGTTTGTTTGTTTGTTTGTTTGTTTGTTTTTGTTTGTTCGGTTGGTTGGTTGTTTGTTCGTTCGTCTGTCTGCTCGTTCTCTTGGTACTGCCGATCTTTTCAGGTTCCTCGCCCCTTTCTCGGCTTTGGGATTTAGGGTTTAGGGTTTAGTGTTTGTGCTGAGGCCTGCCGATGGTTCTTGCGCAGTGGAGTAGCTCGCTGTTCAAAAGGATCCGCCTCTCCCCGCAACAGCAGCAGCAACAGCAACAGCAGCAGCAGCAACAGCAGCAACAGCAACAGCAGCAGCAACAACAGCAGCAGTAGCAGCAGCAGCATCAGCAACAGCAGCGGCAGCAACAGCATTGCTGATGGCAACAAAGAAATTACTGTTGATCCGTAAGCTCTTTATTCTGTCTACCGATTCTCTGTCTGTACATCCCGTGTACAAGGTTTAGGGTTTAGGGTTTAAGGTTTAAGGCTCATGCTATGCTGCAGTAGATACACCTGAAACCACTGAAAAGAAGAATCCTTTTGCCAGTCCAAAACCTAGGGCTTAGGGTTTAGGGTTTAGGGTTTTGCAGTATGTCGTGTTGACATGAAGCTGACTACGAATTAGGGTTTAGGGTTTAGGGTTTAGGGTTTGGGATTGGAGCCCTAGGGTCTAGGTTCCTTCTCTCTAGACATCATTTCTCTTTGTGTGTCCTGCAGCAACAGCGCCTTTAGCCTTTCCGTCTCACGTTGTCTCTCAGCTTCCTCTGCCTGCAGCATATGCTGCTCTGTGAGCTGCTGCAGCTGCTGCAGCTGCTGCTGCTGTTGCTGCTGTTGCTGATGTTGCTGCTGCCGTTGTTGCTGCTGCAGCTGCAGCAGCTGTTGCTGCTGTTGCTGCTGTTGCTGCTGCAGGTGCTGCAGCGGCGACCCGTGCTGCTGCTCTCCTAGCCATTCAGCGTGCTGCTGCAACCGGTTCAGCAGGTGCTTCCGCTGCTGTTGCAGCTGCTGTTCCATCTGCCCTTGCTGCAGTTCCCGCTGCCGCTGCTGCAGCCGCTGCTGTTGCTGGTGCTGCAGCAGCAGCCTGTGCATTCCAGACGGGGCTGACTTACTCGAAAGGGGTGTGCTGCTGTTTTGTGCTTCTGGAGGGCTTTCGCAGCGTGAGATGTTGCGACTGCGCCTTGGGCTGCTGCTGTTGCTGCTATGGCTGCTATTGCTGCTGTGGCCGCTGTTGCTGCTGCTGCGGCTGCTGCTGATGTCGCTGTCGCTGCTACCGGTATACCGGTTTCTGTTTCTGCTGCTTATGCTGCTGCTGCTGCTCACTTCAGCATCAGAGGAGTCCTTTGAGTCTCCAATGTAAAAGTATTTCGCTCTCCTCCTGAATCCCCCAGTAGTTGGTGGTGGTGGTGGTGCTGCTGCTGCTGCTGTTGCTGCTGCTGCTGCAGCAACAGCAGCAGGAAGATACGCACTTCCAGAAAAAGAAGAAGAGGCAGGAGAAACAGAGAATGCTTTTGCTTCTGTTCGGTTGCCATTCCACCAGTTGCTGCTGCTACTGTTGCCGTTGCTGCTGTTGCTGCTGTTCTGCAGCAGCAGCAAGTTGCTGCTGCTTCTGCGTTTGACTAGGCCCCCTACAGCCCCTATGCATTTTGCCTCCCTTAATGTGCGGCACTTCTCGCAGCAGCAGCTTCCAGTGTGCATGCAGACACCGGGGTCTTGCTGTTTCTGCTGAAGCCCTTCCTGCTGCTGCTGCTGCTGCCGCTGCTGCTGCTGCTCGGGTTGAGGTGAGTGCTGCTGCGATGAAGTGCTGTGCGCCCTGCTGCTGTTCTTTGGGGAGACACAAAAAGGAGAAGACCTCAACAGCATCTCATGACGAAAGCAGCCGCGAGGAGGGGCCTTGTTTGTCCGTTGCTGCTGCTTCTGCTGCTGCTGCTGCTGCTGCTCCAAATGCCGCCGCCGGTGGTGCTGCTGCTGGTGCTGGTGCTGCTGCTTTTGCTGTTGTTCTTGTGCCTGCACACTCAAACAGCGAACACTGCTGCTGTCCGAGGCGGCGCAGTTCATGAGCTTTCCTTCAGACATGTTGTTCAATTGCTGCTGCTGCTGCTGCTGTTTCTGCTGCTGCTGCTGTTGTTGCTGCTGCTGCTGTTTGATGAGGAAGAAAGGAGAAAGCAATAGACGCAAGGACAGCCACATACAGCGAAACAAGAGCGGGATCACCTCGGAGAGAAGAGCAGCAGCAGCAACGGCAGCAGCAATTAGAGAAAGCCATCGAAGCCTCAAGCACTCCTGCTGCTGCTCGAACGGCAGCAAAGCAACAGCGCGACGCTGCTGCTGCTGCTGCTGCTGCATGAGGTGCTGTGGCAGTGGCTCTAGGCTCGGTAAGAGCATCAGCAGCTGACTGGACCAGCTGCTGCCTTCAGTAGTCATAGAAGAAGCAGCAGCAGCTGCTGCACCAGGGCACCCGCTAATCCTGCCAGCAGCAACTGCAGCTCGTTGACCCAAAGCAAACACATCGGGGCCTCTACCCTGAAGTGTATCTCCATTGCATGCATTGAGAGCATCTATGGCTTCGGTGCCGTGCAGATAGAGGAGCCGCAGCTGCTGCTCCTGCACCAGCAGCAACACCAGCAGCAACAGCAGCAGCAACTGCAGCAGCAGCGGGGAGCAGAGCCGACTGTACGCCCAACGCAAGACATTCACGATAGGCGAATTGCATGTGCCTGACTGTAACGTCTCTGAGGCCTGTTCAAACTTGCTTCTGCTGTTGCTGCTGTTGCTGCAGCAGCAGCTGCAGCTGCTGCTGCTGCTACCGCCCTTGCTGCTGCTACTGCTGGTACTGCTGCTGCCGCTGCTGCAGCTGCGACAGCTGCAGCAGAATGGCTCTGACTCCCCCATCGCCTATAAGACAGCAGGCGAGTTGGTGGCGGGAAAAACCCAAAAGAGATATTTACAAGTTGATGTGTACGCACACTGATGCAGCAGTGTTGATATCTGGATTCGCACTAGGGCCCCTGTTGTTGCTGTTCTTGCTGCTGCTGCTGCTGCTGCTACTGCTACTGCTTCTGCTGCTGAGGCTCATGAGAAATGTCTCTTGCTGCTTGTTGCCCTCTAGGGTTTACGGTTCGACGATTTTTGCGCAGTGTTTAATGGCGGAGTCTGGCGTTCCTACCTCCGTGGGAGCAGCAGCAGCATCTGCCTGAGCCGCATTGACAGCTTCAGAGGATCAAAGAGCAGCAAAAGAAAGCCCCTAAAGAAGGCTGGGCTTGTAAAGACCCCAAAGAAAAGAAGAAGAGCGATACGCGCGACAGCGCCCCGTTGCGGCAGCAGGTGTGCGGCTAGAGGGAATGCACGCAAAAATACAGATAATATCAATTAAGATAATAAAAGGAGATAAAATGTAAGAAGATAAAATTTGAAAGACATTAAGAAAAAAACAACTTTTGAGGGCTGAAGTTAAGCGGGAGGCAGCAGGCAATACTGGGCCGGCAGTCAGCTCGGGCTGTGCACGACTACGGAAAGCAGCGTCAAAATTGAATTTTCTTTGACTTTTATTGCATTATTCAACAACTAACGTCAATAAAATATATTTACGAAGAAAAAAGCTCTTCTAGATGCTACAAATCCCTTCACTTGGGGGTTAGCTCCTGCCAGTGCATCACACACTAACCGGGCTGCTGTGTCGGTCGCGGCTGCGCATACACCTCAACTGGGCATTCTTTTTGCTGCTTTTTTCAAACTTTATTTAACGTAAACCCCTTTCTTAATGCATTTACTAAAAATTCTTCTTGTTCATTGAAGGCATTTTAATTGAAGAACTCCCTCTCCCGAGACAGGTGACCAGCAAGGCAAATCGACTGCTCTGCTCGCCTGTATGCGGGGGTTCGCGTTTTTGAATAAAACCACTTGGAATAAAACGGAAGGAGAAATCCTTGTTATTGTATAATTATATTTATGAATATTTAACTACAAATATTTATCTAAAAAGTCTTATCCGCGTTTTATTCGACAAAAAAACGTAATTGTAGAGGCGAAGGCAACAGGGCTTTCTCCACGATCGTTGGTGGGCGGATGGGCTATTTTAATTGCCTTTCTTCCATCATTGTTTTGTTTTGAACGAATTTAATTTAATTTAAACAAATTACGTTAAATAAAAAGCGAACAAAACAACCTGGGTCTAACGAAATGCGAATAGAAGACAGTAGTTGTGGGTTTGATGATTGCGACGCCTTAGGAGATTGAGTTTCCCTCATTTGTACGAAATAAAAACAAAATAAATGAATTATAAAGACATAAAATAGAAGAAAAACGAAGAAAAATAAATGAATAAATGCATAAATGGAAAGAAGACAGAGTGGGCATTGCGAGGCTCGAACTCGCGACCTTGGGATTATGAGACCCACGCGCTACCGACTGCGC